GGTAAGCCTACGGAACCTGCGCTCGTGTTCGCATTGGCCAGATTCTCTTGTCGATGCGCACGAAGGAGGGTTACATTCCACAGGCGTTGGAGGCTCTCCGCCGCGCCAAGATGAAGTTCCCCGGCCGCCAGATCGTTGTCATGTCCAAGTACTGGGGCTTCACGAACATTCTCCGCTCCCAGTACGAGGAGCTGCGCGATGCCGGCAAGCTGCAGCAGCGTGGCATCCACGTCAAGCTCATCACGCCCAAGGGCAAGATTACGCAGCACAACCTGATGGCGTGAACAACAACCACCTCGTTTATGTTTGCTTGTTTTTGTTTCTGCTTTTAAGGTTTCTCTTTTTTTTTTCACGTTGTTGAACTGCTTTTGCTTTCTTTTTGCCTTTACTACTACTTTCTCGGCGTGGTGAGCTGCTCCTACGACAGTTAACAAAAATTTTTTTTTTTGCTCTTTACTCGTTGTTGCTTTGGTTTTAATGCCATTTAGTCTTCCGTTGGCTGGTTTAGGGCAGAGCGCGAATTGGCGTGAAGTAGTGGAATCCATCGTTGTCCTGGAAGAGCGTGGCACGTATAACGACAATGCGACACCACCATGCTCGAGTGCAACGCTGGGCAAGGCGGACTGTGAATCCGGTGCTGTCGTACGGCGGAGTTTTTGGTGGTCTCTTCCGTTCTCCACCACGTGGAGACTGTATGACCTTAATGGCTTCTGGAGCAGCAGCAGCGGGGCCTGTGGGACTTGGCGTCTCGAGGCGTTTTTCCTCCACAAATGCTAAGAAAGATTTATATTCCGTACTGGGTATCACACGGAATGCCTCGCAGGAGGAAATTAAGTCGGCCTACAAGAGGAAGGCCAAACAGCTTCACCCTGACGTTAACCCCAACCCGCGTGCAGCGGAGGACTTTGCGGATGTGAAGCAAGCATTTGACGTGCTGTCAGATCCGCAGAAGCGCAGCATGTACGACATGACGGGCAATTCGGGTGCTGCAGATAGGTTTGGTGCGGGCCCTGGCTTTAATCCATTTGCGCAGGCTGGTGGTGAGAATCCATTTGCCGGTGGGAATCCCTTTGGTAGTGCCAACTCTTTTTCCTCAGCAGCAGGGGGGCAGGGTTTTTCGTTTAACGACTTTGAAGAAATTTTTCAAAAGATGAGTGGAGCAAGCAAAGACAAGTCTCGCAAACCACAAGGGCCCGAGCCTGGCGCGGATATTCACTTTAAACTGCGTCTTTCCTTCCTGGAGGCAGTCAATGGGTGCAGTAAGGAGATATCGTATAACACCTTCCGTCGATGTGGCTCGTGCACGGGAAGCGGGTTTCAGGACTCTGGTGCCAAGGCGAAGTGCGTGCACTGCGGGGGTCGTGGGAAGAAAGTGATGAGTACAGGTTTTTTCCACATGCAGCAAGATTGCACCCACTGCGGGGGGACAGGGGAAACGGGGCGTTCCTCGTGTACGCACTGTAGCGGAAAGGGCATCGTGAAGGACCGCAGTGTGCAAACCTTGCCTGTTCCCAAGGGCGTAGACAACAAGGAGCGCCTCAAGGTGACCGGGAAGGGTGAGGTTGGGGTGCGTAACGGGCCACCAGGCAACTTGTACGTGGAAATTACAGTGGACGAGCATCCGGTATTTCACCGCGAGGGGTGTGATATCCACGTCATCACACCTATATCGCTTGCGACAGCGGTGCTAGGAGGCACGGTGCGAGTCCCGACGTTGACGGGAGAAGTGGAAACGAAGGTGCCTGTCGGGACGCAGCAAGGCGACAAGCTTGTCCTGCGGGGCCGTGGTGTGCACCGGCCGAACCAAAACAAAACGGGCGACTTCTTTATTCACTTTGCCGTGTTGCTGCCTAAATCCCTCACAGAAAGGCAGAAGAGCCTCATTGCGGAATTTTCTAAGGATGAGAAACCACTGGAGCTGACGGATCCGCAGCTACAGGAGTTAAAGAACCGCTACAAATCGTGGTTCTCCGCCTAGGGACGACGTGTGAGAGTCCGTGACTGCATTTATGTGCACACTGCCGTGGCTTATGGGGCCCCACGCAGGAAATGAGCGGAAGAAAAGCCACGAGGTGAAAGTATTGGACCACCCGAGGGCGACGCCTTTTTTTTTTTTTTTTGAGGGAAGCAAGACACACATACATACACAAAACCGGCAGCTTTAAAACACAACCAACATGAGGCGATGAAATTAAAAAAAGGAGACAACACTGTGTTCGGAAAGGGGATATTTGTATGATAGACGCTGTATGCCGTATTGTCTCTTTCTATCTGTGTGCGTAGGTGTCCTTATGCATAAGACGTGAGCGTGAAAAAGAAAAGGAAAAAGAAAAAAAAAAGAAAGAAAAAAGAGTGTGGTTTGGTGTAGGATCTTTTAAAGGAGGTGCATTTGTAAATCTGGCCTCCGTCTTCACAGAAAGCAAGGATATTGAACACACACGCACGCACATACACATTGTATGTGCACCCTAGTACTTTTTTCTTTTTTCTGTGACTTGCGAGGCGAAGTGCCGCTATCGAAGCTCAAGAAGACGCCGTCACGGGCATGAGAAAAAATGTGAGCAATGTGTCCATCTTTTTTTGTTTATCTTTGTAATTTTGAAAGTGAATCTCTTACAATACCTCACACTTACTTTTTCCCTCTCCATGCGTGTGACTATGAATGTGCTTTGCCTCACGACGCCGAGACCATTATGGCTCTTGTTGTTGTCTTTCTTTTGTCTTCATCTTGCCTTTTTTTTGTTTTTAAAAAATGGGGGGTGGGGCGTGTAACACGAATGCCGAGGGGCGGTTGGGAGCTGCTGGGCGATCTTCATCTTGTTTGTCACTTAAAAAAAAAAGAAATACCGCTCTCTTCCTCACACGCACACGCGTCCATAAGCAAGAAGGAAGTAGGCATCATTACCCTCCGTTCTCCAAGCAAAACAAGGGGCGTTGATGCGTTTGAATTTTTAATAATTGCAATGCACATATGCTACCAATACATTTTTTCCCTCTATCTCTTCTTCGTTGCTCGTGACGTACGTTGATATTTATAATTACGCCATCTCTCTCTTTCCCTCTTTCTCATCTGTCCGTCTGTATGGTTGTGACCGCATTGTGGTTGTATAAAGGAGCTGCAGCGGGCTTCGTTGAAAAGTATTGTTTTTAGCGAGTTAGCGAAGTTTGTACAACGCAATACGTAGACGCACTCCCTTTTCTGTGCACGACGCGACCGTTACTTTTGAGCTTCTGGTGGTGAGGAGTATCTGCGTGTGTGGACACATCCCACAGGAAGTTAAAAGAAGAGAAACAGGTAACATCCAAGAGAATTTCTTTTTTTTGAGAATGATAAGGAGTGATAGCGATGCTGCTCTGGACGAGTACAGCCTGTTACTGCAGATTGTGCGAGATCACATGCTGCGGCGTGAAGAGCCCGGTCATCCACTTGTACTCCAAGTTCAGAGTGACGAAACGGATGGCGGCGATCATGTGACGCTCGTACTTGGACAAGTCATGACGGGCCAACCCCGTCCTGTGAGAAGTGTGCTGCGACCAGGAGACAGCCCTAGACCACCGGCTGCCTCCTTGCCATTCTTGGCAGAGCTGGGTCCTCTGCTTCTTCAGGCGCTGGCGCTGCAGGTGGTATTCGGCGAGCAGCGACGTCGTATGGCTGCTCCTCTTGACCAGGAAGCTATGGGGAGACTCCAACGGATGAGAATAGATCGTGAAATTGTGGCCCAGCTCGAGTCAGAGGGAAGGGGAGTGTGTTCCATCTGCCAGGAGGCCTTTTCCGCCGGCTGCGAAGTGTACCGCCTTCCGTGTGGACACATGTTTGACGTTTGGTGCCTGAAGCAGTGGCTTGAACGCACGCGAACATGCCCCAACTGCCGCTTTGTATTGCAGGATGTGGATCAGCAGTACAAGGATGTAGTTGCGCCCGCATGGTGGAGAAGCACGGGCGAGAATGCAGAGGAGCAGGAAGGAAAAAAGTGCCAGTGCGTTGCCACCGTAGTGGGAGGGGAAGCTCCGACCCATAGCCGTTTATCAATTCCACTAGTTGTTGGGGCTGTGGATGCAGAGGTCCACCGTCGGCAGCCACACCTACCGCAGCAGGTCTTGGGGACGCATCATCATCGACAACAACAACAACGGCCTTTGGGATTTTCGCCGCAACTAACAGAGACGTTGAGGACGCCTTCCCCCGTCTCACTTGGTAGTATGATGGATAGAGAGACATTGTTGGAAAGCAATGGTGGGTATAGTTTTTTCTCTACTGATGGGTCTCAAGCGCCTCGTGGGGCTAACTTTGAACCAGCGCCACCGCTGGATGTACTGCAGCGAACAGGTGGGACGTTCCGTGAAGAGCGTTTTGCGGAGGAGGCAACGACGTCATTGTTGCTAGCCCCATCGCATTTAGGCGAATTGCGCGTCGCAGGGAATGTCAACCGAACCCCGCAACGGCAGAATTATTTGCCTGTGCACGGGGAGCAAAGGCCTCCTCCACCCATACGCTGGTCGGAACTATCGTTGCCATCCACCGGTGAATTGGAGGAGGGGGCAGCTGTCAGCCCCGCTATTGGGAGAAGTGTAGGGGATGCGCCATTTTCACTTACTCAACGCATCACTAGTGAGGACAATGAGGACGACAGTTTGGAATCCATGCCACGTAGTAACACTCGTTCACCAGAGGAGGCGCAAACGCTCCGTGGTGACGCATTGGCCCAAAGTATTTTTCCTATTCCACAACCGCCAGAGCCGACAGCAGTGGTAGGTAGTGCGAGACACGTAGTGCAGGCATTGCGACGGCGGCGCGCAGAGGAGGTGCGCCGTGTCCGGCCAACCAATAGCAGCAGCAGCCGTATGAATTCACACAGCAGTCTCACTGCCAGGTTTCCACCGCGTCACAGACCAGCCTTCCCTAGTAGATGCCCCCTGCCCCCGCCGCCCCTGTTGACACCGCCAAATCCCTCGCCGCCGTGGATTCCGGTGGGACGCCAAGATGGTGTTAGTATGAATAGTAACGGTGGAAGTGGGCAAAGTGGACTGCGGAGGCCAGGGGATTCTCGTGTCCAACAAGGTCGCGGTAATCACCGCAACCTGGCGCGATATGAGGCAGTTTTTCGTGGTCAGCAAGACAGGAGATGCTGAAAAGCGCGTGAGGGTATCAGCACAAAAGAAAAAAAAACAAAAAAAATATATGAGACGCCGAGCGCTAGGATCTTCCAGAATAGCAAAACAAAACATTAATATATATATATATATATATATATGTGAAATGGACAGCTAAGTTTTTGTCTGAATTGCGACTTTGGCTAAAAAAAAAAAGTTTCATATTTGTGTTTTAATTGCCTTTCTTTTTCTTTTGGTTTTAATTATTTTCAGCGGCGAACTGACAAGATTGTTTACCTTGCACAGCGTGCCAGATACCCCCAGTAAATGAGATGTCTGGTCTTGAATATCTTCGTTCCGCGTATTTTGTTTTTGTTGTTTTCCTTCTAGCTCCCATGTGTTTTGGATTTTTTAGTCGCATGTGTACTATTTTTTTTTTTTTTTTTTGTTGCTGGTGCCTTCGTCTTGATGTGTCTGCTTTTTGAGCTTGGCCTCTCCGTTTTCTTCTCACGTTCCTTTTTTTCTGCCGCGTTCTTTCCACGGGTTATTTCAATTACGTGCACCTTTGAGCTTCCCGTCCTTTTCTGCCTTCACTTTTCTTCTTCTGTGTGTGTGTGCGTCAAGGACGCGGAAGGAGTGGTGTGGACAAAATGTCGATGTTTTTGGGGCTCGTGAGGTGCCCGACGACACGTTCTCGTCGGACATCACGAACATTTCGGCGAACCACCTCAACGAAAACAGCTGCCAGCGTTTCTGGCAGCGATTGATGAGGTGCATACGCGAAAGCTAGGAGCTGGACGTACTCTACGACTGCCGAAGTTGCATGATTGATCTGCGGGAGTGTGTTACGCGTCATAAGCAAACCACGTGGGTATTTAGCGAGACGATGGCGACACTTCAAAACGAGGAAAAGTTGCGACGGTGGCTGAAAGATTATGACGAGTCCTTTGGCCACCCCCCGCTGCTGGAGGCGGTGGAAAAGGTGCGCAGCAAGTTGGAACAGGAGGGAGGCGTAAGGGTGCTTAACCCGACTGTTTTTCATGATCCCGACGTATATTTATCCCGCGGGAAAAGGTGTGAGAAGTTTCCATTTCGAAGACGGAGCTCAGAAAAAAGAGGGATGAAAAAGAGCGGGTCACAGAAAGCATGAGATACACAAATATTGTACATGAGGGCGAGGGAACCAGGCTGCGTCTCAGTGGGTGGGGGATTCAGTAGAATAACACATGGGGGGTTGGGGTGGGGATATTTGTTTTTGGATAACAGTTGTTTATGGATGTTTTTCTCCCTAATTGTGCAGTGCTTTCCCAAACGCTTCTTGCAGCTCTGTTGTTTTTTCTTGCCCGTGCTGTAGCGATCAGCTCATGCGTCTGTTAAGGGGTGGACCATGGACCTGCAGGTGTGAGCTGCTAGTGGAAGTAGTTGCAGTCTTATTTTTTTTTTCTGTCTGCGAGATTACGTGCGTATGTCTGGTTAAGAGGCTTGGGGACTATGTGGCGCCTTCATTAAATGCATCTCGTTTCACGGACCTTTTTGTTGTTGTTTTATTATACCGTCTTTTTTTTTCTTGTCTTTTTTCTCGTGCCTTTTTGTTATTGACAATGCATGGGAGAGGAGTACAATGGCAGAGGAACGGGGAGTTGACATCCCCGTTAACTCTGAAGCGAACCTGCAGACAGACACTGACATGTGTGCCGCCAGGCTAGGGGGGCAGCCCTCTACAGAGGTGCGAGAGCCTGCGTGGCCAGTTGAGCCTCTTCCATACGTCTGCATGCTCTCCGGTGATGGCATGGAGTTTATTATTCCTGAGGCTGCTGCGCGACAAAGCAAAATGATTTCTTCTTTGCTTGACGCTATCTATTCCCTTCCAAATCGTGGAGGATTTGGTGAGTCGCTGCAGAAGAAATCGACTCCCGGGGTTCTTGCCGTTAATAACGTCAACATGATGCCGATGATTCCACTCGAGCCTTTGTCCAGCCGCACCCTTGAACTTGTCTGTCGATACTTGCTGCAGCGCAGCACGGGGGATCCCAACTCCACAGAAGAGTTCTCCCTCCTTGGGGAGCTTGACCCAATGTCGGATGAGGACCAGGATATTGTCTCAGAGTTACTGCTTGCAGCCGACTTTATTGACTGCTAGAAGTTAATTATCTCCCTTAGCGGTGTCAGCGTTATCGTTGGCGCGCTCTCGTATTCTGCCATTTTACGACTGCCTATGCCTATAAACGATGGTGAGTTGTGTTGCAGTGGTGGACGTCATGCTGGGCATGTGCCGCCATTGAAGAGGGAAACGATGCAATGTAGGGCCAATGGTCTTTGCCTCTTCTATCCCTTCTCTCGCTTCCCGTGCTCGCCGCAGCAGCTATTTGTGTGTTTTGCCGTTTTCACTTACGACTGCCACCTCTGCAGCTGTCACGTGACACTGCTGACGGTGCAGAAAAGGAAAGGAGTGGGTGGGTGGGGGAAAAGAGGGAAGATAATAAACAAATAGAGAACAATAGTTAGGGTCAGCAAGGACGTCCATCCACTGTTTTGCTCTCAGACACAGACGCACAGGTACGTATCTCGTGCCTTTTTGCTTCCGCATCCGCTTCGTATATATTTATCACTGACAATGGGGGCAGCTGTGTCATCCGGAAGACAAATCTCACGTACGGCGAGCACTTCACCCCACGGTCACTCGCAGGCCATGCTGCTTGTAAACGGATCTGTGAGACGGGATGCGCGAGGAGGATTAAACTATCCAATATCCAACGGGGATGTCGGTGTTGATCTTGGCACCATGCACAAAATCGATCAACGACGTAAAAAGATAGGGGCCACTATTGATGAGGAAATTCAAAATACATGTAAAGAGGCTGATCCTGCCACATTGCACATTCTCAATGCCGTTAAGGAGGCGGACATGTTGCCTGATAGCAAGGCTTCACTAAAGCTGCAATTGCTGCATGATTGTTACCCCTTTCTGGAGCAGGTTCCCCCACACCGTTTTGACCACCTCGCAGTACTTGTGTATCAAAAGGAGGGTGACGTCTACTTTAGTCAAGGTGACGTGGAAGGTGCCAAGACGACATACAGTCGTGCTATTCAAATTGCGGAAACGCGTGTGGCTCGTGGCGAGAAGGAGATATACATGGTTCTCAAAAGGTATGTCCTGGCTATGGTGGGCATGGCACGGTTATGGTACGCACAGGAACGCGATACTACCGGTTTCACGTTTGCTGACAAGGACCTTCCCATGATGACCCCACGGGAGACTAGTATAAGCTCGCTGAACTCCCTCGAAAGTAGTGTGCTTTCCGACACTAGTATGTTTAGCCTGAATCAAGCAATTTTAAAGTCTATGGCACCAAAATCGCCACGCCGTCGCGCTGGTCCAGCAGTTAACGTTGTACAGTTGCTTCGTCCGGTGACAATGAAAATGAACTTTACGGCTGAAGACGATTTTGTGCTGCGAAGCAAAATGACACGTGAGTTAAAGGCATCTCCATGTGAGTTATTACTTCTGCGGTGTATCGAGGTAGTAGAGATAGGACACCGGCGGCAGTCCGAGCTGCTCATTCCCGCTCTCATCGAGCTGGCACAGATATACGAGGAATTGCGTCTTTACAATCGCTCCCTTTTGTTAGTGCGCCGTTGCCTTGGTATTTTATCTGTTGTGTATGATTACGACCATCCATGGATAATACAGCTGCGGCGCCGTGCGGACTTTATTGTAGAATGTGTAGATGAATATAACAAGGCGAATATGGCGACGAAGATTCAAGCGACTTGGAAGATGTTCAAGGCGATGCGCCTACTAGAAGAGACTATTGGACGGCCAGTCATGCGCCATGTGTGGAGTCCAGCGACGTACCGAAACCAGGCAAATGATACAAATTTCCTCAATGAGTTTGTGAACGACCTGCCGGAAGGCACCGTATTGTGTGGCACAGGTGAACTGGATGAACTCCTTGACACGGGTGGCGGAGTCGATGAGGAAAAGAAGGTGAATGGCAGCGAACACAGCGTGAGCGACAGGCCCTTGCCACCTGCGGTACTACGCGGTGAGGGGAGTCGTGGGCCGTCAACGGAATTAAAGATGGAACGACCACTGTCCTCTTTGCGACGTAGCACGCGAGCGATGGAAGGAGCCACATTGCCTCTAGGTGCCATTGGTGGGCCGTACGAGGAGTTCCCCGTCGCAGCGGAGTATCTACCGACGCATGGGGAGGGTCGGATCCCTGCAAACATCACGCTTATACCAAATGGACGTATTTCCGGTGCAAAACGGGATATGCAGACCGACATGCACGTACAGCGCACTGCCCAGGGTGAGGTCCTGACAATCCGCACGACGACAGTCATTCGCACCTCAACGGAGCAAGATATCAGCAGAAACGGGGAGGACTTCATTGACGAGGAAGAGGAATATGTTGCCGAGCATGACGCAAGGGAGGCAGAGGGGAGGGGTCGGGTCGCCATCCGGTAGCAACCGCGAATTTGACTTATCGAAGTAAAATTTTGACACATTTGCTTTTTTCTTGAAAAAGGAAAGTCGTGGGTGACACAGACACGAAGGAGAGGATCGAGTGGCAGTAACGCCTCTGCAGCCACTGCCTTCAAGGCATGGGGATAATCACCATGACTAGTGGTTTTACAACAGCTACGGACGAAGGCAGCAGCAGCAATTTGGGTGACGATATGATGCGTAATTCCGGTCCCGTGGTCCCGTCTGATATACCGCTGAGTCGCACGCCCCCTCGTGCAAGAAAACAGACACCACACGCGTAGTCTGAGAGCCCAGCTTGGGGGGTAGCGTCATTTTGCGGCCGCCCCCACAGACTCTTAATTCAAGTTATCATTACTTCATCCTCGGAGAGAGCAGGAAAAACAGGAGGAGGGGGTGGGGTGGGGGGCAACAAATGTAAATCTGCGCCTATAATTTCATCATGTATCAATGTATAGGCCTCAAAAGTAGAAGCAGCGTGACTAGAGAAGAACAGGTGAATAAAAGCGGGGAGTAAGGGGGAAAAAAGCTCTTGTAGTAGCTACAAGTTTGTCTTAGTTGCCTTGAGATGCTGATGGGTCATCGTTTGATCGCGCTATTATTTTCTTTTATCCCGGGGCCGAGGTCAGCATTGCTCCTTTCATTTTACTTTTTTAATAGTTGTTACGTTTTTGCCTGTTATTTTCTTGCTTTGTACGTGTGTCGGCATGGGGAAGGGGGATTTTGTTACGGTCTTTTCTGTCACTTCTAATATCTTAGCAGTTGCGTGAGGTGCATGTGTATATTGTGCGCATGCAGGAAACACGGATTGAGCATGTGGGAAATGGGTCCGCAGTTTAGGAGTAAGCCGAGTGGAGAAGAAGTTCTGAAGCTTGGCTGCGGGGTCAGGCACTTCCATCCTATTTTTTCGTGAGTTTCAACGACTTGTAACGTGCGCACACCCCGGTGGTGGCAGCAGCGACAGAGTGAACTGTGCACATGTCGAAATTGCGTATTTATCTACACCAGGTATAAGCGGAAATTTTGATCCCACTTCAGTTTTTGTGGTTGCGAGGATGAATCTGGGGGACGGAGGGGCAAGAGTGAGGAAGAGTGGGGCGTGTTGTTGAATAGATACTCTGGATACACGGAGCCTTTTTTTTTTTTTGCTTGTTCGTGCGTTTTACTGGGAGTTAAGTGGAGGTGCGAGAAAGAGGGGAACGAGGCTCATAACGCCGCGACTGCGGTAGACGTGTCTTTTCCCCTCAACGTCAATGAATGCGGCCTCCTCCTCCTCTCCCAAAGTAACTGCAAGCAAGCGAAGAAGAGCGGGATATATTTTCTGTTTGTGTTCCCCCCTCATCCTTTTTCTTTATGTATATTTCCCTCCGTGTTCCTACATGCATTCCGCTCAATTACCGCAGTTTTTTTATTGCTATCTTTTTTTTTCCTGACGCAGTGTATCCTTTTGTTTTGTTTCTTTCATCATTGTATCACTGTCTCTTGTGTTGAGTTCACTGACATTTTTGTGTGCGCTATTGGTGTTATTTTCCTTCGTGTGTGTCTGTGTGTGTAGGTACGAACGACTTTTTCTCTGCGGTGCAATCTTGCAGATGAATACTCCTTTTTTACAAGAGAATGACATTACACGCTCTCCCCCTTTTGCATCACACGCCGATTGCCTACTGACAGAAGTATGCAACCGTTCTAATACACCGACCCCAAAACAGTCCCCAGAGCAAAGCTGTTGTCTACGTTTGCTTCTCTCTTTATGTCCCCCTTTCTCTCTTTGTGTGTGCGCGCATCGGCACCTCTGCGTGGATGTCCGCACTTTTGCCCGTGGTGTTTCTGGAAGAGGCGGTTGCGCTTCTTGTCTGTTTGACAGTTATTTCCCTCCGTTGGTTTTGTCCTTGCTTTTACTTTTTAATCGTCGCTTACCTGGGGGTTTGTATTCACTCAAAAGTATAAAGAATGTGGCGTGCCTGGACGCCAGTGCAGCTGTCACAGCGGCGCGCCATGTGCTACGCCACACCCTTCCTGCGGTCAAAACCGACATCTTCCATTGCTTGTAATGACCTGCGTGATGGTGGCGGGGAGGTCAAGCAGAGCCACACCAATACCAGCATCAAGGAAAGCACCACGGTGGCTTCAACTTCGATTGCGCCTGGACCGTATCGCCATGTCGGCAACATATTTATTGTGCAATGTGATGATCACCCTTTTAAACACTCCTGGGAGATTAACCGCATGTTGCGAGAACTGCGACTAGAGTACAAGGGACAGACAACGATTTTGCCTGACATCCCGCCTGTGAGGAAGCAGCTTTGGCGAGTGCGGCACGTGGTAAAGGTTGATATGCTTGACCTTGACGAGGCAAAGACTCTTATTGGCGTACCGGAGCACGTCAGTTTTAGCGATCTTGCGTCACAGATACCGGCAACATTTGGCCGCGTGCGTGCCGTGGCGAATCCAGTGCTTCGTAGCAAAATGAATTTCATGAAGCTGCGTCGGATGCGGCTGCGTGATGTGCTGCACCGTGACGCGCTTGAGCTGCGCCTGCTTGAAGAGAGGCGAAAAGCAGCAAGGGCGGCGCAGCAGAATGAGGAGCAACAGCCTGCGTCTCCTATAGAGCAAACGCGGAACGGTGAGGCGTCCCAGAGCAGCTGAGAACGATATGCACACACCCCTACGCATCTTCACAAGACGAAGAACGTGGTGGAAAGCAAGGAGCAAGTACAACAACAACAACAACAACACACACATTTGTGGGACGTTGTAGGAGAGGAGGGGTACTCCATGAAGTCTGTTGGACGAAAAACAAATTGGGTGGTGCGCCAACGTGATGTCTTTGATAGGGCTGTGTATGAACTTGTATGGTCTTTCTTTCTTTCTCTATCTCTCTCTCTCTCTTTTCCATTTACGTGTCCTTGTTGCCTTGAAACATACCTGGTTGAAGGTGTTAAAGCGTTTAAAACCTCTTCCTAAGAGAAGGCCACGGTCATGCGACGGTGCCATGGAGCTTTTCCGTTCACATGCAAGGTCAACTCGTTGTCTTCTAGCATGACATACCGAATGCTGCAGAAACGCGGCATTTCACTCGTTGGGCCGGCGAGGAGCACTTTCCTCGCGCTGTATCAAACCCAGCAGCAGCAGCGCATGTGCGTGGGTGCCTGCCGTGACCCTGTCCGGAGCTTCTCTAGCACTCGAGGCCTACACGAATCAAAAAAGCCGAGCGATCAACTCGCCGGCTTCCGTGAGGTGAAAACGTACGAAGGGAAGGGTGATGAGGAGGAGAAAGAGCAGGATGATCCTTTCTCAGCCAATGCGGGACCTGGCTATCTGCCCTTTCCTCCCCCTTTCCACACGTTCAATGTGGTCATGTTACTTTTTCTTGCCAACGTTGTCACATATCTTTTTATGAACTTCTCTGGAAGCGACAACATGCGGGACTTTATCGTTGACCACTTCACACTGTCTCATGAAAATGCTTGGAAAATTTATCCACTGCTTACCAATGCGTTTTATCAGGAGAATCTGCTACAGCTACTCATCGATTGCTGGCTGCTCTGGCAATTTGGAAATACAATGCTGGGTTTTCTTGGGAATACCCGCATGACATTTTTTGCGGCGCTTTGCACACTCGGTGGAAGTTTTATTCATTTGGCGCGTCAGCAGTTTGAGTTGTATTACGGCATGGACCCGTTGGAGGTGCGTGGAAGGTGCTACGGTCCGAATCCATTTATTCTTGGTCTTGTTGCCGTGGAAGGTCTCATATTCCGACACCTCAATTTTATTCAGCAGCCACCCGTCCCATTCCTAGTTCTCACTGCGTTTGTCATGGTTATAGACGTCTGGAGGATTTTTACAACAAAGCCAGAGGAGCACGGCGCCTCGACAGGTGGGGCACTTGTAGCGTACGTCTTCTGGGCTCTTCCCACACGTATGCTCGGCCTTGATAAACTCACGGCTGCACTATAGGACCGTGATGCCTCGCTATGTGTGCGTAAGAAATAACTGAAAAGTGAAGGGAAGAGAGGGATTTATTTCTTAATTCTTCTTTCAATTTGCTTTTTTTCCTTCGTGTGTGTGTGTGTGTGTTTCGCACATCGTTTTTCTCTTTGTGACTGTCATGCACTTTAATTTGCGCGAGCATGCAAGTAAATTAAAGAAACAAAGATTGGTATCTACAGAAATACTAGCTGATGGACACTATGACCGGTACAGAGGCCGCTGTAGTGGAAGTGAGGCGGTTTGTTTGCTCCTTTTGCCGCCTGCAAAGGAACTGGTTTAGTGCTTTATGTTGTTATTGTTTTTTCCGTGTGACACCCCTCACGCCTCTGCTTATTTTCCTCCTTTGGCTTGTTGTTTTTTTTTTTTTTTTTTTGTGCGTCACCTTCTGTTGCAAAGCATGAAAACAAGAGAAGAAAACGAGGGCCATTTCATCGTGGCGCACAAGCGGCGGATAGCAGGGGCACGCAAACCACTTATATGGATGGGAGCCACACGAGGTGTGGTGCGGATGCGACCTCGCTGCCCGACCCCACCCTCCTGAACGTTGTGCCCCCATTGAGGTTCGCAATGGTGGAGGAAGGTGTCTACCGCGGCGCGTACCCCACCTTGCGAAATTTTCCCTTTCTCCGAGGTCTCGGCCTGCGCACCATTGTCTCCCTGATACCAGAAGAACCAACCTACGATTTGAGCTGCTTTGCCGCTGCGGAGAATATCACGCTGCGGTACATTCGAGCTGAGCGGTACAAGGGTGAAGTACAGCTGCTACCGACGGAGATGAGCGAGGTACTGCAGTTACTTATTAACGTTGAACAACACCCAATTTATGTTCACTGCTTAGATGGTCGACATGTTGTTGGATTGGTAATTATGGGCCTGCGTAAGCTGCAGTTTTGGGAGGTGAACTGCAGCCATTTGGAATACCAGCGCTTTACAAGAAGTGTTCAAGACGAGGTTGCATTCATCGCTGATTACAGTGGACCTATTGTTGTGCCCATGCACATCCCATCCTGGCTCTGGAGAGGCGCCTGGTGTGACGACTCGGGAAAACCCAAACGCATTCATGTGGGCATTCGACTAAAATTTCCATCTGTGTTGCGCAGCACGGAAAACACGGATGGTGCGGCTGCCGGTCCATCGTGGGGGCGTGATAGTGCAAGTGGCTCTTTCGCAACGTCCGGTACGAGGGAACTCACCCCAGAGCGTCTTGCCTCATTTGTGCAGGCGGGAGATGTTGCCTCAATCTCGATATTGCATACCGCAATAGTAGCATCCAGTACTGGGGATGGGACTGATAGCAGGCTAGCGTACGTTGACTTGCCGAGCGTTACACCAGCACAGCTTGTTGGGCTGGCAAATGATGCTCGCCATGCAGCGTGTGCCATACAAACGGAAAAATCACTTGCTGCAGATTTACGTTTCTTGTCTTTGCGCACCTCCGCTGAGACTGTTTTAGCGCCGTCACCAACAACAACAGCAGCATCGTCACTTCTACCATCTTCATCGCGGGGGTGGGACATGTGGGAAACTTTGTCTACTGCTGGAGGTGTCCCTCGAGCTGGTAGCAGTGCTACGGCCGGGTTCACCTCGAACACTACGGGCGTTGGGAGTGAATTCTCGGCACTGAGTCATCCCACGACGCAGCGTGGTACGCCACCAGTTACCTGTGTTTCACTAGGTGAAGCGGAAGATGATATTAGCGGCGTTCATTTTTCTATGCAACATAGTTTGCGTGGGGTAGCGAATATCTCACTACAACGAGGGAACGAATGGAACTTTTCTCCTGCGTCATTAGCGAAGTACTCTTCACGTTTGCAACGAAATGCGCAATACATCGTTGCAGAAGCAGCTGGCTATGGCCCACCAGTGGATTCAGGGAGTAACTCAAAAAAAAAAAGCGACGAAAATCTCTTTAGTACATATATATATATATATATGTATTACTTGCGTGTTGTCGGGAAGCTATGCCTTTGCTTGCGATTATATTTGGTGTAATGTTGTTTGTTGTTGTTTTTGGATTTTATGTGTTATACTTGCGTTCATCGCCACGTTTTTCTGTGTTTGTGCGTTCTTTTTTTTTTTTTTTACTGCTGCTCAAACCGCACGCCACGTTAACCGCAGCAAAGGGGGTAGTGATGCACTCGGGATCCTCTCAGGGAAGCCTCGTCGGTGGTGGCCGCGAAGCCGCAAGTGGGCGATCCCGCAAAGCTTCTGGGGAGGGTCTTTGCTCTCTCGGCAGCGGGAACGGCTCTGGGGGGCGGGCGAAGCCGGAAAAATTATCGGCGTCTTCGGTACCGAGCGGCAGCCGGCAGAGTGAAGGGACACCACGGGTCCGACGCCCAGGCAGCAATGCCTCCAACGGCGCCGCCAAAAACTTCTCTCGTGGAAGTCCCAGCGGGGACTTGCATCAAAACCAAAACCGAGAACTGCAGCGGCAAGGTGGCGGTGGGGTTCGCCACTCTCGTGGGGGGCTGAAACAAATTTCGAAAGAGGAGATGGACTCTCTGCTATTTCGGAAGCCACGCCTGGAGGATGTGCGTCCTGATATGTATCGCCTCGATCTTTCACAAAAGAAGGACCTACAGTTTCTCTACGAGGCACAGCATCGCGTAGATCCCGAGTTGTTCCCCTTTAAAAAAAACTTAAGCCGCGCTAGGTGGAAGCACATGCACCAGAGCCATATCTTTGACACTGACCCACCGCCAACCCAGCGAGCTTCCGTGGCACCAGCCAAGAAAAATGACGATGGACTTGGGACCCTAGCGCGATTCATTCTCAACTCTGAGGCACGCGAACCCTCTCCAGTGAGGGGCCGACGCCATCGCAGCGACAGTGCAGGTAAAACCAAGCTTCGTCTGTTTGACAACAATTCTAATGAAGGGAATTCAAGAAGCGCGTCACCAGCTTTACGAACATGCGTGCGGCAGGTGCGTTCGAGGCCTGCCGATAAACTTGGGGGTGATCTGCGCGTGCGGAACTCACTGGATGAGGCTGGATTAACTCCCCGCGGTATCCGCAGTAAGGAGGCTGTGCAGAAGTTTGAGTCTACTCAGCCCCAGCTCACGCTGCCCCCGCGGAAGCCTCGTCAACTCCGTGCGAGGGCCACACGAAGCTTCTCAGCTTCGGATAATGACATCTTTGGCGTCAGGAAACGACGGGAACACATGATGGGAAAAACCCGTTCATTTTCCTCTGCCCGCAGCAGCGAACCGTACGGTTCCGAGTCCCCTGAGGGAACCGCAAGCCGGCGAGCGTTGTCGCTGAGAAGTGCAAGTCTCCGTGGTGAAAAGAGGAGCAACAGTTCCAAGGATCGGCGTACTACCTCGCCCTTTGGTGAAGAAAAACCACGTAACGGCGGCACACCAACACGCCGTCACGAACGTCATCGTGGAGGTTCGTTTTCCACTCGTCCCGAAAGCGTTGCCTCCTCTTCTACTTTGCTGACCTCGAGTTACGTGCCGTCTTCACGTGGAACCAACAGCGAGAGGCATCACCATAAGAAGGATGCCAGCAGAAGGCGGCGTGCCGCTACTTCTGCTTCGCAGGTGTCCAGTGCAGCGTCGGTATTTACTGAAAACGAAGAAAATTTGTCATCGCCTCGTCTTTTGCCGGCTGCAAGGACGGGCCGCGCGCGTGTGCCAGGCCGCTCAATTACAAAATCCAATGTTGTCTTTGGTGGGGGCCAGGTGCCGGATACAGCACGGAGTACACATCGCAGACTTCAGCACGAGTCTCCTCAGATGCATGGTATCCTATCTTGGAACTAGCGGCCTCTTTTTTTTTAAAAAAAAAACTCTTGAAGATGAAGAAGAAAAAATAGTACGGGATAGGAAGGGATAAAGAGGGAGAATGATATGCAAAAAGTGAGGAAATAATAACAAGGGAAACCGTGTAACCCATGTGTCTATGTTCATATATTTGTCTCCACACATATTCATGGTGAGCTCTCTATCCCTCCTTGCCTGTATGTTGAGGGCTTCTCTTTGAGACGGTGCCGTCAAGCTTGCAAAAGTGCGTTATGTGGTATTTGGCCGGAATGTAAGACTCTGTATATGCAAAGAGCGCAGATAAGTGAGATGTTTTCACGCGATGAGCTCCTGTAGGAGACGCACATGCAATATGTATTCTTAATTCCACTTGTCGGCATGCTTTTTTCCCCCCTTATTTGCTGGTGTTTTCCAACGTACACGAATACACAAGCCGAAACACTGGCCCCGATGGTATTGGGACAACAGGAAAAATGAGGGGAGAACGATGATTGGGGTTCCGTTTATCATCCGGCGTCGCTGTCGTACACATTGTATTGTATTCTTTCCATTGTTTTCTGCCAGTTTTTCCAAAAATGAGTTGTTGTTGTTTTTTTTTTGCTTCTTTTGTCTTTTTTTTTTTTGTAGAGATTAAGGCATCCGTTAAACCAGCGGACGCCGCTGCACGTTTGCGTCTCATTCCCTCTTCTCTGTGTCTTGTTGTTGGGGCTACGGTAGGGGCACGATGATGTGGAGTCGATGGTGCATCCGTCGGCCGGTTGCTCGCACCGCTCTCAAGGAAATGAGTCTCGCTTCCTGGCGGAGTGGCGTCTACAACCCCGCCTTTTGTGCAGCACAGTGCTGCGCCATAAGGCTGAACTCCTCAACTACAACATATAGCTCTAGTAGTTCCAGGGGGGAGGCTGCGTACAGGGGGGGAAACAGTGTGCATGTTGAGCATCCTATTGTACAGCTTCCTGCGCGTTCGTTGTGGTGTAAGCAGTACCCGCTGGATCCTGCGCTAGTTCGCAGTGGTGAGTTTGCGGATATGATTGAGCGGGTGCAGGCAGCTCGTCACTACTATCAGTACCCGTCCCTTTGCGCCCCACAAATTGGGTGGAACGTGCAGATGTTTACCCTTTTTGACGGCACCGTCTTTATCAACCCTGTCAATGTTGACATACTGGAGGAGGAGGCGGCAAGTCGTAGCGGAAGGCCGATGGTCGAGGCTGAGGCGCAGTGGGTGACGCGTTGCCGTAAAGAAGGGAAGACGTGTTTTGCCTGGGAACCCTGTGCGAGCTGCTGCTTCCTCATGCATTACATTGAGCGACCGGCCACCGTGCGGTTGCGGGCCATTGGGGCTGACGGGCATCTTTTCGAGGTGACCCTCGACAAGATGAGGGCACGTATGGCGCTGCACGAGATGGACCACCTGGGCGGCGTCCTCTTTACCCGCCGCATTCCCGACACGAATCACGTGGTCCCCCTAGAGGGGTTCAGTACGATGAGCGATTGGTCAGACGACTACCCGTCGCTGGAGGCGCGCAGCACGTATCTGTACACTACCTACACCCCACCATACACCTTTCTTACAGACAACGTTGAAGATGCACAGTTGCTTGATCGAAAGTTCGAGGACGGCATTTACCCTGGGTGCGAACACGACCGCCGCATGCGAATTGAGAACGCCGCACTCGAGGAACTGCAGCGGGCGCAGTGGAGGATGGAGAAGACACGCGGCGACGAGGAAGACTGCAGCCAGTGCATGCGTGACACTGTTGGCGAACAGCAACACGAGGAAGATGAAGAAAATGAGGGGGAGGGTGTTGCTTCAACGAAGGGCACGGCTTAGCCTTTTTTGTTTGTTTGTTTGTTTTTGCCTTACTCTTTTTATGCGTAAATGCGCAGAAGAAGGGATGCAAAAGAGAGGCTGTGAGTGAGTGAAGCAAATAAAAATATACATCTTACAATGAACTTCTTTTTTTTTTTCACTGACTTCCAGAGGATGCCTTTCCTTCATTATGGGCTCCAGTCTCTGTTGGTTCTTTGTGTTTGTGGCTGTTTTTTTTTTTTTTTATAGGTTGTTTGTTGTCTCTGCTCCGCCTTCCACACGCACAAGCACACGCACACACGACCGGGGGAACCGCAATAGTAAGCGAGGAAGGAGTTAAACGTCAGGTAAAATGCACCGCAAACAGGTGTGGGCGAAGCGTGTAAAGAAGGAACGCTTAAAGAAGAAGTTCCTCACACGCATGCAAGCAACTCGCCTGCTGCAGATTGACTCCATCCAGTTTCGTCGCCTCTGCATCCTCAAAGGCATTTACCCCCGTGCTCTCGCCCGCAGCAAACAAAAGCAGAGTGGCAACGACAAACAGTACTACCTTGCGCGGGAGATCAAGTGGCTTGTGCGGGATCACCTTGCTGAGCGCATGATGGCACACCGTGCATGGGAGAAGAAGGTTCGCCGGGCGGAGGCGATGGGTCTCGCCGACGACCTTAAGGTACTGAAGAGCAAAAAGGTAAAGCCACAGTACAGTCTTGTGGCAACTATCAAGGAGCGGTACCCTTTTTTTATTGACGCCGTACGAGATATTGATGACGCCATGTCCATGATTGCTCTCTACGCCTTTCTCAGTCCGGAGGTGATGAGTGAAACGACTATTGAGACACACCATGTGTTAACGTCAGGTCTGCATCAGCGGGCGCGGGAAATCAGTGAACGGTGGAATCGCTATGTTGCACGGGCCCATGTGCTGTCGAAGGGGTTCATTTCGATTAAGGGATACTACTTTGAAGCCATTGTGCGTGGGGAGCGGGTACGCTGGTTGTGCCCCCACGAATATGCGCACAAGTTTCCACCAGGAATACAACAATATATTACTCTCAGTTTTCTTGAATTCTACATTGAACTGATGCGATTTGTTCTATTTAAGCTAGAGCGCGATCTTGAGCGTGATATCGCAGAGCAGCAGAGGACCGAGGACGATGGGCTCAACGCAAATGCTGAGGACTTTCGCATTACTGACAAGGAAACAACGCAGACACTTAGTGGCGTAAAGAAGGATGTTCTTAGCAAGGCAGAACTTATGCAGGAGGAGCTGCGGAAGGCTCAACGCGTGTTTGAGGGGTTAACATTCTACATCTCACGTGAAGTACCTCATAAACATGCGACTCTTATAATTGAGGCGTGTGGTGGCCGTGTTGCAACGGCCTATGTGACAGACAACATCACACACTTTGTAGTTGATCGACCCGCGCTACCACCAGGATTTGAGCGTGTGGATCGCATCGAATATGTGCAGCCACAGTATCTGTTTGATTGCCTCAACGCTCGTATATTGCTTCCACCCAACGGCTATCGCCTTGGTGAGGAATTGCCGCCCCATGTTTCTCCCTTCACAGTGGCCATCACTAACAGCGCCGAGGATGTTGCTGCCGTGGAGGAGGCGAAGAAGAATCATCCGAAGATAGTCTCCTATGTGCCGAAGCGGGTGCATGAGATACGTACTCTCGTTGACCCTCAGTATACGCCGATAGATCCGGAAGGAAAGGCATCTGAATTGTTGCTGCGCGACGAAAGCGATGAGGAACACGCGGGGATGCCGGAGTTGGGCGCTGACGACGATGTTTCTCTCTCAGGCGACGAACTTGTTGAAGCCAGCCGCCGTCCGACGTGGGAGGAGGAGGAGGTCACGGAGAATGTGCAGCGCAGCAAGGTTTCCGCGCTGAAGGTGGCGAAGCAGCGCAGTATGAATCTCATGAATACACCAACAGACGAGGTGGTTGCTCGGCGGCGTCTGGCCCAGTTGAAATTGCGGGAGTCACGGCAACAGCAGGAGTCGTCGGAGAAGCGGCTGAAGCGCAAACTGGCGGAGGTGAAGCGCCAAGAGGTGGCCACACGCAAGATGCAGCTGCAAGTGGCTCGAAAGAAGGCAGCACGGTATTACAAGATGGTCAACGGTGTCGTGCAGGGCAGCCAGCGGCGGGAGAAGATGCTTGAGGCGAAGGCTAAGCAACTCGAGGATGGTCGTGTAGCCATGAAGAAGGACGGCCGCGAACTTGTCAACACCCGAATGGAGGCGAAGCGCGCCAAGGCGGAAGCTGCAGGAAAACCGCTTCAGGAGAAAAAGGTCGCTAACCCATACAAGAAGCTGCCAAAGTGGGTACGCTGAGCGCCCCGGTGACCTCTCTACTTCTTCCCCATCCGGCCGAATAGGATTTGCGGGCTGAGTTAACTGCCTACAAGCGAAACGGAATTGGGTGTGAACAGAGAAATAAGGAGCGTGAAGGGGTAATTCGCCCGCCAGGCGTGTGCTTCTTAACAGGGTTGCATTTCCCTTCCACTTGCTCTCTGCATGGGGCGCTGCTTTACGGCGTCAGGTTCCCACCGTACCACTTTCATATTTTTGCTTTTGCCCGCACGGCGTTTAACAGCAAATTGAGCCGTTCGTGAAAATGGGGGATAACAAATCAAACCAAAACAAAAATGGGAGAAACGTATGAATCCGCACGGGATCAGTGAAAATGAAACAGAAGGAATAAAAAAAAAAATAACAACAATAGGGCGCGGATCTGGAGGACTCACATGCTCTCTCCCAAGCGTAATTCCAGCGAAAGAGACAAGAAGAATTCTTTAAAAAGACACTGGTGATGTGTGTGAGCGGTGGGGGAGTTGAGCAATAAAAGCGACATAGAAACGAACAATCTTATTGTGTCCTTGATGCGTTTAAAAAGAAGGGGTAATGAGGAAGGTGAGTCTGAGAGACAAACACACGTGAGGGAGCGAAGGAGACAAGGTGTGCGTATGTCTTCATATTATCATTAATTATTATTATTATTATTTTCTTTTTTTTTTTTTGGGGGGGGGGGAGGGGGCAAGGGAATTGGTGGCGGCATTCAATGCTACTTCGCCGCACGTGAATCTGCTACGATGTATCATGCGTTTTTCTTTTCTTTTTTGTTTATCATGTATCACCGCTTACGCAGCTGCTGTTGCGGTGGGTAGAGTAGAAGAAGCAAGGAGTTGGGAGGCGGGCAAACGACGCGTGCGCACACCCGCACATTAACAACTTTGAAAGGGAAAGGGAGGGAATGGAATCGAGCGCCAGCAGACGAAAGCCGTACGTTCCCATCGACACCTGCAGCCCAGGTGGGACGTGGATTGAGGAGAAGCGGTACAATAAGGTGCGGCACGACAACGGGGCGAAGCAGGCGTCCAAGGTCCTCTGCGGTAATTGGCAGGAAGAGAAGGCGCTCGAAGACGACCTTATCGCTCAGCAACCGCTTCCCCCAGGGACGGTGCCACCTGAAGAGTTCGTACAAACGGCAGTGCTGCAGGCAAGCCTGGATGTCATACGCGAGGGTGATCATGGACGCTACACTGGGGGCCACCAATCAACCCCTTACGTGACGAGCGACGCGCGGAATCCGAATGCACGCTTTTTACAGACCACTCAGCGCTATGACTACTGCGAAGCCAACGGTGACGTAAGACGCCTTCGCCGCCCCGATATGGGCGTACGCAGTCGGGTAATGCTGGGAGTTGCGCTCGAGGCGGCGAAGGCAGAGAAAGAGGCACGCGACACAGCGCGACAGACGCGCCTCTCACGCACTGCAGAGGATGGAGGTGGTATTTACCTATCAACGTACCATAAATCGCACTGTCATGAAGAGAATCTTCCAGTCATCAGTGAGTTGCGTAACGACTACCTCTCCGACGAACCAATCACGCTTTATACGGGCAATCCCGTCACGAGATGCACCATGACAGTGCATGGCAAGACACCTGTGGAACCTGTGGCAGGGCGCTCGCGTTTTGGACGTCACACGTACTTTACCGAGCGGAAATATGCGCTGTAGTGCCCTGCAACAAGCAAGGGCGAAGGAGGAAGATGATGAATGTACAGAGTTGTTGTTAAAAATTGGACGGAAGCTATCTTGTTGTTGTTGTTGTTTTTTTATCTTTCCCCCACCACACACACATACATCTTTTACCCTCTTCACCAAGGCTTTCTAACGAAAAGAGGATAGGAAAACTGATGTTATTATTATTATTATTATTTGTAATGCACGGGTCATGAAATTTGTTATTATTATTTGTTTTTGTTTTTTATTTGTTATTTTAAGTGGCGGCTTAGACGCTTGAGGCAGTATATATATATATATATATATATACATCGGCACGCATAGGGTGAGGTGGAGGGCAAAAAAAAAAGGGGGCGGAGTGGAGGTAATTTCTAAGAACGGTTGTGGATTCTTCTAAGCAGCAATAGAGTCAAAATGGGAAGCGACCTTTCAGTTGTAATGCGGACCCGGGCTCCAGTACCTCAAGTCGTCCACGAGGCACGGGAGCAGAGACAGAGTTTAGCTTGTGATGTGGAGGAGAGCGGTGTGTTGCCGATGTTGTACACCGAGTTTCGTCTCGTGTGTGGAGAGATCTTCAACCCGGCGAAGCTGGTAGAAGTTCCAAAAGGGACATCATCACCGCCTTCCGTAGAGCTCCTTGTAGAAGACACCACGCCTCAAACCCTCAGTTTACTTACTCTCGAGAATGCGGCGCTGTTTCCTCACTTGCATGATGCACTGCGCTGCAAACAGTGTCTAGGGCGGATCGGCCTTGTTGTAGATCCCTCCGTTTGCATTGGCAGGCGCTTGTATGCTGCGGAGCAGCGACACATATTTACACAAAGCTTCTCCATATTTTTGTCCAAACTTGTCCTTGCAATGAAGCACGTTGCTCCCAGTTGCCAAGAAAGCTGGGTTCAGGCTGGAGAACGTGAGTCGCCGCTAGTCGGTGATCTTGTTAGCACTCGACAAAACTCACCAGCGAGGCAAAACTCATCTGTACCGCAAAAACTTTTCCTTTTGCAGCTTGAACAAAGTTTACTGGATGATGTGAGTGGGCCCTGGCTTGTGCGCGAGGTTGTCGACCACATGGGTCGTGTGCTGCACTATCATTCAGCTGTCTCGCTTTTTTGGGGTCTGAGCACCCCGCCTCTCAGTCTGCCCAGGAATATTCCGGAGACGCCCATGTCAGGGGACGCGTCGAGCTCCAGTCGCGCACTGACTCGTGATCTTGCTTGCCGTGAGAGCAATGAAATTTCGATGCCAGGCTCTGACGCAGCGCAACTTGGATTTTGCAGGTCACTTCAACACGTGCTTCTTGCTCAGAACAACATGTCCCAAATGGGACTGCGCAAGTGCCTTCTGGAACTTTTCAACATTCATGAGCAGCAACATGGATCATCTGTACGATTTCTTAAGATGATCGATGTAAGAGAAAACGAAGAATCTGAGGCAACGCAACGATTTGTTTCCGAATTGTCATTGCGTTCTGGTGTACAGATTGTAATAGGGGATAGTGGTAAACGGTGGCGCCACCAAGCACCTTATTGGGTCAAGAAGGCCCTTCCCTACGACAGCCTTGGAGCCGTGAGTATGATGCACTCCCTCACACAAGGCACACCGTACTTTAATATTGCTGGTCACCCCGAAGTCAATCAAGGTGGAAATGTGCAGTTGACCTCTCTCTCTTGTGTGCAGAGGGATCAGTTACGATCGCCAAAACAAATGGACCTGCATTTGGTGGGAAACAAAAGTGACGCTACCTTTATGAGGTCGCCCTCAGAGAGTGAGCGCAAGAGAGCATTTAAGCCTCACAATGAGGGGCGCCATAATAAAGAATCAACAACGTTAAATGCAGATTCTGATGTCGCTGCTGCCGCGTTGGAGACAAAAGGCGGAGATATGGGAATGAAAACATTGAACAATATATCTTTGGAGTCGTTTTCGTTGATTGAGGGGGAATTGGATGAGGAACGAATGGAGTCATTCCGTTTGGACGCGGCGGGTGAGGCGGAAGCTGGAACCGCAGATGAGAAGGAACTGCTGGATATTAATGCAGGTTTGCTCTCGGATTCTCCTGCCGCCGTTCGGCGCAAGAAACAAGGCCAGGACGCCGATTCACGGAACGCAACAGCTACCACGCATGGGGTCAAGGGTATTTCAGCCAAGGGCATTGCTGCTGTCTTGACAACATGGGCACCATTAAAGCCGGAATCCCCTGTCTCTTCGTCTTACATTGTGGGGAAGGAAGAAAGCCCTGTGAAAGCAAAGTCGGCAGCAGCACCTCCTTCCCAACCGAAAAAAGGAGTGCGCGCTATCTCGCATTATGTGTCACCCGCCACACAAGGTCGGAAATCGTTTTGTGCCCCCAAGCGTTCCCAACAACAACGTCGCGATACCGCCGTGAGCAAGGAGAAGTTCTTTGATGCCCGCCGTCACCAACGTCCCAGTACTCATTCACCGCCCACAGCAAATAAGATCACTTCTGGAAAACGGGGTGGTGTGCCAAGTACGTTACCAGCAAAAGGGAAGAAAACAGCCGGAGTGCGGTGTCATAGTGAAATATCCACCCCCGAAGAATGAAGCGCTTCATTCAAATCCCGACGCACAAGTCTCCAATTTTCCGAAAGTGGTATAGCTGCAATGTACAGCTCCTGGTGATACAACTGTGTAAACTTCCTGACACCCTGCCTTACAAGTGACCAGCGCATATCCGTTGGGAAAAAAATAAAGGGAATCAAACGTGAAGAGGGAGAGGGGGAGGGGGACAAAAAAGAGAGGCATCCCGAAATAGGTGTGAAAGCGCTTTTGTGAAGCGTCGATTGCGTCTAATTGGAGCGAGGCCTCGAGAATACTCTTTCCTATGAATGTACTACGTATATATAATATATATATGCCATTGCATTTCGTCTATTGTCATTGTTGTTGTTGTTGTTTTTTTCTTGGTACTGCTTTTGTTTGATGGGGTGCGAGTGTGGCCCTTTTCTTTTTTGTTTGATTTTGTTTCCTTTCCGAAAATTTCATCCTCCTTCTTGGCAGTAGCCCCGGATACATATTTTGCGTGTTTTTTTTTCTTGCCGCGTTCACCAGCTTTGTCTCGTTTCTCCTCATTGCTTCCTTACTTTCATTCATTCCGAATTGCGCTGTGTGTGCACGCATGGGAAGTCGTGGAAGGCCACATGCGAACTATACGAGAAGGTGAAAGGAGTTTGTGCAAGATGAAAGGAAATGGTGCGTGTGACTGTGGAGCATGCCCCTTTGCTTTTTCTTTATTCATCTAACATTCTTCGTGTGTCACTATGTGTGTGTGTGTGTGTGTGTTTGCCAAAAGTGTGCTAGTTGGGAAGGAGGAGAGCATTTATTTGGACGCGGCCAAGTAAAATTTATAAGCTGCTTGTGTGTTTGTTTGCAGGGTGAGTTTAGGAAGGATGTTTCAGCGTACATGTAGTGGTTCATTGTATACCACACTGGAAGTAAGCAGAGACGCGACGCCTCAAGAAATCAAGAAGGCGTATCACAAGATGGCTTTTCGCTTTCATCCGGACAAAACAGGCGGAACTACGACGGAGCAATTCCAGTTGATCAAAGATGCGCAAAGCATCCTTAGCGATCCGAACCAGCGACGTGTGTACGATACATTTGGTAGAATGGGCGTGGATTCCATCCGGCAGTTTGGAGACGTGTCGGTACCGTTGACCCCTGCCGCTATTCGTAAGGCCATGTTTTTTGCTGCGTTTTGGATGTCGTTGTTGCTACTCACTGTAGTGCTCATCATCGTTCGCTTGGACTACAACAAAAGCTGGCCCTGGGCAGTGGTGTTCGTCCCTCTGTGGGTAGCACTTATTCCGCTTTTTCTAATTGGTGGAGTGTTACTATTTTATGGCACTACTCGGCGGGAGATCGCCACTGTACTATTAGGAACGGAGTTTTTATTGTTTATTGCCTCGGTTGTAATGCTCGTCGTCGGACTATCTGGCGCTCTCGCATGGCATCTAGCCTTGGCTCCGGGTGCAGGATTATACGTGCTGCAGAGTTTTTATGTTTTGTCCTTCATGTTCTCTTCTCAGTTTTGCAATCGCTTTGACGAGGCTATGGATCCTGAGACGTCTATATGTTGGTCCCGGATGTACTGGGGATTTTTTTTGGTGACAGCGTTTGAAAAGGTGTGTGGCTTCAGTTTCGTCACTCTTGCCCTGCTACGTGCGACACAAAGCGGGGACAAGGTTGGGGGAAAATTGCTCTCCTTCTGGTTGGTATTCGCGCCTCTTATTGTGTACTTTGGATGCATGGCGTTTGTTGCTTCTGTGAGAAGATTTATGGCAAAGTCGGAAGAGGAGCCTTCAGGTATTCCTTACCGCCTGTGTCAGGCGTTAGCAGCTGCCATGGGTTACGGCACCCCTCTTTTCATGGTTTGCATGCTAGCAGCGAAGTGTGAGGCTGAGCAGAACCACGTGTCAGGAGGCCTACACCCCTCCGCGGCTCTTGTGCTCTTTCCGCTGTTATCTATACTTGCATTCGCTGTGTTGTTGCCGAGCTGCATGTTTTGCTATGTCGAACTTCTATTTGGGGGTCTGTCCCGAGTGGAGACGACAGAGGATGGTGAAAGCTCCACACTACAGGGCGACAACGTGTTTGGTCGCGCCAATTTTATGTACAACGCCATGCCAAACTATCATACCAACGACGACGGGGGAGGAGGACAGGCGGCAGAGAGTCCCAGGATGTGTCGCGACGCGAGGGCGACAGATACAACGTACATCAGAACAACGTACCATGAAATTTAACGTGAAATATATCGGTTGACGATACACCGATAACTAGGGAGGAAAAGGGTACTGATGGAGCAATGAATGTGGTTTTTAATTTTTTTTTCAGAGCCTCCGTAGTTGCTTTTTCTGACTTTGCGTATGGATTCTTGGCAGGTGCATGCTGCTACCTTGCTTGATTGAGTTTTACGTGGATGCCCATGGCACACTGTGAATTATATCTGCATTCCTTCATCTTAAATATATCACGCACACACACACATGCATCTTTGATTTTTGAACTCTTTTGTTAATTTAGTGCCTCTTCACCAACACACCGCTAA